TGCATAATTGTGTTAAACTAGTATAAAGTAGTGCAGCATTTGATTGCTAATAACTCTGATCAACACTTTTAGTGAATGCTACAAATTTAAAATAGAGTTTGTATACTTTTAATGTAGTTATTACCTAAATTTTATTAAAATTTATTAGAAGACACTCCGACAGTTTCCTTGTCAGTGGAAAACGGCTAGTGTCAAATTGATTCCCAAACCCACCAGTGCTAACACTTACAAAAATTACAGACCAATCTGCATTCTTCCAACTCTGGGAAAAGTGTTAGATGGTCTAATGATTAATAGGCATCAGAATCAGTTTGGCTTCTCTAAAAACAAAGGTACAGTAGATGCCATCAACAGGTCGTTAACTATATCCACCAGGCTAAACAATACAATCAGCATACCGCAATTATCACTATTGACTTTAGAGGCGCATTCGGTCATGCCTGGTAGCCTTTTATCCTGCACACATTACATGCTCATCACTGCCCTCAAAATGTTTACGAACTTCTTCAGTCCTAGCTTAGCAACAAGAGTGCAGGTGTTTATACGATACAAAATAACATAGTCATACTCATCACTCAATGCGGTCCTCAGGGACCAGGCCTGATCCTGGTCCTGGAACATAGCCTATAACTCTATTCTGCACTTAAACGACACCCTGCCTCCTGGCTACTGCATACTGGGCTATGCAGACAACACAATTATTCTAGCTTCATTCACATTAGTCATAGGAAGGACAAAAGGCACTACTTACACTATTGCACTTATTCTGACAGTAGGGTAGCTTTACATAGGATCGTGAAGTTTAATAGCCGCTTAAAACTCATCTATCTCATACATCACATTCTCACACACTTAGACAACAACAATAAAATAGATTTCCAATGGGTCCCAGGCCATGCCGGGTTCTTGGCAACGAGACCACTGACTGTCTTGCCAAACAAGCTGCAATGTCTTCATTCACTAATACTTTCAGTTACACTCCTATCTCGTTCATCAACAATCACGTCAAAAAGCAAATCTTCATTTTCTGGTAATACAGCTGGGACTGTGACACCAGTGGTTGGCTCACGTACACATTCACCCCCAAGGTTAACACTACTGTGATTCTTCGCCACTTTAAAATTTAGTTACACCCTCACTCAGCTACTTACAGGACACGGCAACTTTAAGCAATACATGCATAGATTTAACCTTGGGAACAATCCACAATGCAATTGTGGTATTCAGGAGGACCAAAAACCACTTCACTTAGTTTTTCACTGCAATAGGTACAATCACAATAGGGATAGTTTAATGAGAGCTGCTATTCTTAAAGGATACAGCTGGCCTTGCAACCTGCACCATCTCATTCACACACATACAATGTTTCATCATCTACTGTCATTCATATCTCTTCATGGGGCTCTTGAGAGCACTCACTTCAGGGGCACAGATGGTAATTAACTTTTCCATACTTTGTTTCAACCGCCAGTATATAGCTGTCTTTTAACTTGTATTTTAATTCTTATTTTCTCACTTCTTTCTCAGTCTAAATTCGGTTAGTCCTAGTTGCAAGTTAGATTAGGGACCCTTAGCTTGGTTTCTGGTTAGGTTATGATAGGTTAGGTTAAATTAGATTAGGGTTTGTTTGCTTTAGTAATCTGGTTAGGTTCGTCCTAGGTTATGGTAGGTTAGTTTAGTGGTGAGTGAGTTAATGTTTACAAAAATAATAAATAAATATAAATAAATAAATAAGAAAAAGTAAAAAAATTTTGTGACTTGCTCGTTTCTCTGTCAGTCTGTTTGTCTCATCTAGTTTGTCATTGTGTTAGTTTCCTTTTCGCACTCTCTGTCTAGCTGTTAAATAGTATTAAGATTCGCGATCGCGTTCAGTTATATTAGTATTAAGTAGATACAAGTCTTCCTACTAACAGCCACTTGGCCTTAACTTCTGCCCTTCGCTATTCGTGGTGGCTCTCAATTATTGGTGTTCGCTACACTCAGGTTTTCTGTTAGACCATTTTGAGGACTGCGGACTTCCAGCATAAAAACTGCACATCAACAAAAAAACATAAAGAGTACTGTAGCCATATGTACATCGTTCAGCGGGATCCTACTTTCTCTACTGTCTATATCCTTTATCTCCTTCTTCGCTTCTTCTTTCCCTTACCCTCTTTTTTGATGGCTAAACATTTCGTGTGCGGCCGATGTCATTCTTGTATGTATGTATATCATGATATTCCATGATTAATAATTGTTGAATTATCTTTAAATTTTTAAAAGTTTTATGGAGACTGAGTACATATAATACAAGCAATCATTTATTAATATTGTCACGATATACTTTAGTATTGTCTTGCCCCCTGTACATCATACATTTTCTGTTTATACTGAACTTATGCCGGACATGTATCTAACTCCTTTCGGGAGAAAATTATTTAATTGAAATAACGTTACTTCCATTTGAAAGCGAAAGTTCCTGTATTCTTAAATCAGAGTCTCCTACCCTACCCTTTCATGTTCCGCTCATAATTTTCATTTGTCTAATATTGTTCACGAGATTAAGGAAAATCAGAGAGAGAGACAGGAAGAAAGACGAATGACAGAGAGAATTTATAGATCTATAAATTATTAAAATTGAAGTACAAATAGTTTATTTTTGTAGTTTCGGAAATTGCATATTTTTGTGAAAATATGGGCAAAGGTAGCGTACCGTTTAGTCATCAGGACCGTTAAGCCTGGTACTCACATGCGGCAACGAACGACGGAAATCGTCGACGGAAACAGTTGCCGTTCCGTCGTCTTTCCGTGTTGCGTGTACTCACATGCGGAAATTACCCTACAATTGAAACGCGCCATCTGCCAGCCGTAAATATAAACAAGCTACTACAATAGGTAGGCCACGTGTCAGTAGTCGAAAATGGCGTCTACCGGGATTGCTTTGTTATATCGATTAAACTTTATAAGTTTGCTTTGATCTTATCACAAATAAAAAAAAACTCAAAAACGAATCATTTGGATAGGAAAAATATTCTAAATCGTCGAAAGTTAGGAATATCGAATACTTTCGTCGCCGAATTACGCTTACTCCATTCCCAATACTTTACGCAGTAAGTCTATTTGACATTAAAATTTAAATCGGATAGTAATATAGAGTATAAATGAAATATATTAGCGTATTAGTGTACAAATAAAGCTTTTTAGCTTGCCGCCCGCCATAGTTCAAATGCTATCGTCCCACATGATCTTTATGACGACACTGCTAAACGGTCTTCCTATTAGTCTAATTCTTACCGTGCCGCTTTCCGTTGCGGCAAAAGTTGAAAATTTTTAACTTCGTATTCCGTCGACGTCGACGGCAAAAGTGAAGTCATTTTGCCGTTCCGTCGACCGTTTCCGTCGTCCGTTGCCGCATGTGGGTACCAGGCTTTAGTCCTGCTCAGTCAGTCACTAGATGGCTAAAGATAGAAATGTCGTCCGGATCTCTCGATTCGTTTGACTGTCACGACTGACACCAGTTAGAGTAGAAGTTTCACGCCGTAACTCGCGAAGTTACATGCTATATTTAAACAGAAGGCTCTATTCTGTCCAGCGGGGAGAAATCGCGGATAAGTTCTGATTGTAGCAGGGTAAATGTCTGTACACGGGAAAAGAATCAACAGGTAAACAATATCAAAAGGATTCAATGAATAAAATATAACAAGCGATACAAAAATTAAGCTACATCCTATAGACCAGTGTTTTTCAACCTTCTTGAATACGCGATCCCTTTACAAGTGAAAAAATTCTGGCGACCCCCACGGCCATGTTAAAACTATATCAGTGATTTTCTTTTACAGTTTTTAATTTTCTTTCTGTTGAGACCTAAATATCGATAAAAAAAACTAATTGTACTGTAAAATAAACAGGCACAGCCTTCTCACTGAAATTGTAGTTTTTTTATTGTAGTGTAGGACCTAAAAACACTTGTTTTTTCTTTTATCCGCGACCCCCCCGGTATGGCTTTGCGACCCACCTGGGGGTCGCGACCCACAGGTTGAAAAACACTGCTATAGACTATCATAAATCGAACCTATCTAAAATACATCTCAAAGCGAGAGAGAGAAAGATTTTACAATCGGTTAAAAAAAGATAATACTTTTGTTGAGCAGACTTGGATAATGCCAGCTATCCTCTAAATTATTCTAGTAAGTTCCTTCTGATGAATTGTGGTTAATATGGCATGTTCCTTCTTCTATTGACTGCCATCAATATGGCAGAGTCTAATTCTTATGAACTAGCGTATATTATGGCAGGATCTACTTAATGTTGACAGTTTATGGCAAATCTCTTATTCTCTAGACTGCCGCGAACTCGTCAATTTTCCCCCTATTTATTCTCATTTTCCACTAATCACATTGCAAGATTCTGATCGCCTGACCAGACACAGATGTTCGTCAGATAATTGCGATAAGATCTTTCTAACTGAAGTAGAACTTCCTTTTCCCACACATAACGGCAATTTTTGGTCTAGTTTCGAACTAAAATATTATATTGAAATTAATAATCACGTGGAAAAATCTAAGACTGTACCAACATTTGAGAAATAAATAAATAAATTATCGAATAAAATGCGTCTCCGCTTTTGCATTTTCACATTTTTATAAAATAAGAATTAGGCCTACATATTTTTCGTATTAGTTAAAATCGAAGTTAAAGACTAAAAATGTCATTTCATATTCACTTTCATATTCCAGAATGAATTTTGGGGACAATCTGACCTTCCATGTTAAGTTACTTGGTAGCCAAAAATGCATAAAAAGTTATTTTAATACATGAAAGTATGTTTAGTTAACCGATAAAACTGTAAAAATGAAAATTGAAAAATATATTATGAACATGAAAATAAATTAATACGAGTATTAATTCGTAGTATTTTTTCAATTTTAATTAATACATAAATTATAATCTAAAGTTTAAAAAATTGATGACATATTTTTTAAAAATATATTTAAACTATACTCTATTTTTGTCATTGGCAGGATATACGTTTATTTCCTAATGGAGATTTGACACTAGTAGGAGAAAGAGGGGTGATAATGAGTGGTGGGCAGAAGGCAAGAATTAATCTAGCAAGGTAAAATTAGTGCTATCTTGGTAAAATAATTTTACAAGTGCATTTATTAATGCATTATTTATATATATATCAGGCTATACAATAAATACAGTAATATATCAAATACAAAAACAATTCTGATGTAAATAATTATATATGTTCCAAATACATTTATTTTTCTGATATTTATTTATACTTTTTTAGAGCGCTATATCTAGATGCAGATATATTTTTACTCGATGATCCATTGAGCGCCGTTGATGGTCCAGTAGCCAGACATTTGTTCCAAAAGTAAATGTTTAAATAGAAATTGTCTTTTCTTTATATATTTCATATTTCCTTTATTTCAGGTGTATAATGGAATACTTGAACGATAAAATTTGCATTTTAGTTACACATCAAACACAGTTTTTGAATTCAACAACTAAGGTTTTAATGCTAAACGGGGTAAGAAAATAAATATACCTATGTCTATTTTAACACTTTAGTTTAATAATATTTTGATTAATTTAGAAAAAATTATGAAGTTTGTCTAATACAATATTTAATACATCTCATGCATAAGTTTAGTAGCATTCTATGCCTACTATCATGATTAATATTTCTAACTTGAAAATAAAAACATTAGCGTTAGTTCACACATCCATAACTAGGTGCCAACCAAACTACAGGTTTGTTCCCACCTCTAGCTGTCTTATTTAAAGGCGGCCATACACTTTAAGTTAATGCTCAAAGGATTAACCATGCATGCCTGACCTGATCGTGTGTGAGGGAAAATTTAACAGTTTTGGCGAACTGTACTGACCACCTAAGTAGAATCAAAAAACCATTTGATTTTCCTGCACGGTGTCAGACTGTGCAGGCCGACCTTAAGGTGTGTGCCATCGTGTCGTTCAGTTGTGAGTAGTTAGAACAATGTCACGTGAATGTTTGGAAGAATTATTTTCTATAACCTTATTAACTTTTATTATTTATAATCTAATAAATTAATTTTTCAGGTTATAAATTATTTTCAGATCAAAAATTTTTTGAGTAAATTAAAATTATAAATAGTTTTAATATTTAGAAAACTTCCAATTCATTTCTTCTGTTTTCAGGAAACATCTTGGTACTCTATATCAATTTCTATTACATTTTAAAAAATTTATTGTTTTAATATCCAAGTAAATTAAAGCATGACAACTTAAAATAAGACAAAGTTTAATAAATTCCTTTTAATTATTAAATTATAAAATTAATTTGCAATAATAATGTTTACAATTTGTACTAATATCGAATGTGGTTGAGAATTATTAATATATATTCATTTATAAAATTTAATCCATGAATTTTTTGGTAGTAAAATCGACTTGCCATTGATTTTTCTCTGATAACTGATGCTTTTTAACAGAATCTATAACCCAAGATTTATCTTGAAAAGTTAATTTTGTGATCTGAAATAATTCCATTAAAAAATTATTCGTATGAAAAGTTAACTTTGTGATCAGTGCTACCCAAACACTACTACTACTGTTTACACCATCGACTTCTATGCATACTTTTTTTCCGCGAGTTTTAATAGAATTTGTTGCCAATAAATATTCAAGAACAGTCAATATGTCGTCATCAGATGCCATGGGTGACTGACTGACTGACTGGCAGACAATGGCATAGCAAACATAACTGGCGCCCGGGGCGCAATACTATATTGGCGCCCCCTCCCCCTTCAGAAACAAATCTTGTTTGTCTTGGAGACCATTTGGCGCCCCTCTGCGAGTGACGCCCGAGGCACGTGCCCTACTTGCCCCACCCTAGCTACACCTCTGCTGAGAGATTTTCTTCTTCGTGTGTGGGTGATAGGAAATTCTTAAGTTCCTCAAGGTCAGACAGCCTCAAAGGATTAACTTAACGTGTATGGCCGCCTTAATTACGCAGGGTTTGCCAGTCTACAGACAGTTCGTGACATCGTTTTGTGACGGTGTTCTCAGTGTTGCTCTTAGTATCTGTATACTCTATTCGTACTGTTCCATCATTGACCTTCTCTCGAACGAAATGATACTTTATGGCTATATGTTTGGTCCTATTAAAACTTTTGGCATGTCTTATCGCTGCTTGATTATCGCATTTGAAGATAGAGGGTTCTTCCAGTAGTTCATGCTGATCCAACTGTCTAAGGCTACGATTACTATGGATGCAAATTCTGACGAAATTTTGTTCTGATGACTTCTGACGAATTCGTCCGAACAAACAAATCCCTGTTTACCAATGAAAGTGTTTACTTTGGCAGCGAAGGGCATGTCAGAACACGCACGATGTAGTCAGAACCATTCCAGCGTTCAAATGAGTTTGATTTTTTCGTGTGTTCTGACGTTGAATTTCGAGTGTTTTGTTTTTTTCAACATGGATATTGATAAATTGATTAATCTTGTGTTCGAGAATAGGTGTTTGTGGGACATGAAAGGAAAAAACTATCACAACAGAGATATTTCTCATTTTGGTCTCATTCTGAAATACTCGAAAAACTTTTGCGGGTTGTCCCACAAATCTTGATATAACATTTGGAACGCTCCCTTATTGTCTATTACGGAAAATAAGTGGTTAACATACTCTGTTTTCCCACCACCCATCAACAATAACTTAATCAACGGACTTTCAAGAAAATAAAACTCATCAAGTTCGTCCATTTTGCTGGAAGGCAGAAATGTACTATCAAAAAACATGCACAGTGTAACCACCTTATTCTGATGAGGATTTCGGAGGTACTCGTCAGAACAAAATTTCGTCACAATTCGCATCCATAGTAACTGTAGCCTAAGCATTTTTCTCATCCAGGTTATATCTCTAGAACACGTAGATAGGGATATATATTCAGCTTTCATCCTAATGAAAGTCGTTACGGATTGTTTTGTGCTCTTCCAGGCCACAGGTTCTCCTGCCATAAATACCATGTATCCGGTTGTTCTTTTACAGTTTACTTTGTCCATCGCCCAGTTTGCATATGAGAAAAGGTTTCCTCCAGATCTTGTGTATTTTATTCTTAGTCGCTTTGTTGATTTCAAATAATGTAATATTCTTTTAGCTATCAGATACATTCCAATGTTTTTCCTTGAGTATTTGTTGCAGTTCTGTGTAAGTTTGTTAACTACAAATGTAATGTCTGGCTTTTTTTCTGCGATATATAATATGTTATACACTTGTTCACACATCCATAACTTGGCACCAACCTAACAACAGGTTTCTTCCCGCCTCTAGCTGTCATAGACTGGTTGTTGCCAGTCTATGACAGTTCGTGACATCGATACTCGCTTTAATTTCGTATTCCCTAATAATCATAAACGAATTATGTAGTAATGCTTTCCTATGATCTCACGTTTACATTTATTTATATATAATATGTAAATTAGGGAAGTTGAGGTGTTTCCACTTTTTTTATTTGCACAAGTAACTATTACAATGTATTATAGGATAGATATTTATTACGTTTATGATCGTTTTGAGGGAATAGTTCTTTTTTCCCATTTTTTATTGCTGAACACTACTGATCAGTGGCGTAGCTACATATTCAGTGCCCTAGAGCAAGTAGAATCGGCGCACCCCCTTGTTCCTCGAAAGAAGTCTCGCAAAATTTATTTTAAACATTTTTATTTAAAAACATATCTAATTATTTCGATTTAAAACTTTAATAACAAATTATTTGAGATTCGAAACATTTCAACAATAAGATATTCTATTTAATAATAATAAATACAAATATAATAATAAAACAAAATATAATCGTTTAAGTACAGATTACCTAATAATATTTACTAAATAGTACCATGTTTCCCTAAAAATAAGACAGTGTCTTATATTAATTTTTGCTATGAAAGATGCGCTAGGTCTTATTTTCAGGAGATGTTTTATTTTTTCCATGAAGAAAAATTCACATTTATTATTGAACAAAAAAAATTCCCAAGTCGAACTTAGACGAGAGTGATGTATATTCGGTCGTGTCGAACTGAACTTAATTAAAACCGAAGTAACGAACCATCGTCGATAAAGTTTATTAAACGCCTCAACTGGTAAAACCAATCTGGCATCCAGTACGACTACTCCTATACAGCATCCCTAATGAATGGGAGACAAGTCCCCCAGCCAAAGTGTCAAGCAAGTAGCGACCAGTTGCAAAAAATTGCCATCATCGCCCAACCCAAACACCAGACTAGGCAATTGAAGAGCCTTACAATCAGGCTTCCTCAGTGGACTAACGAAGTTCTGGTGCTGGAGTGGACTTCCCACTCTCGCTTAAACTTAAACTTTTTATAGCCTCGACATCGGGCTCGATGACTAATTAGTGCTTACTGAACCGTAGCACTATGCAAATATGATGTGGCGTGATTCCCCACCGACCAATTAGCGATTACTAGCCGTAACGTTATGCAAATCTGTGATTCCCAAGCCATAGTATTATGCAAATCATGCCGTGCGGCGTGATTGTCTGCTGACCAAAAAATGGCTGTACTTTCAAAAAGCCAACAGCCACTTTCAACCATCTGTCGATGACCTGATGATTTCCTATGATCTCACGTTTACATTTATTTATATATAATATGTAAATTAGGGAAGTTGAGGTGTTTCCACTTTTTTTATTTGCACAAGTAACTATTACAATGTATTATAGGATAGATATTTATTACGTTTATGATCGTTTTGAGTAAAAAGTAAAAAAAAACTTTATTACGTTTATGATCGTTTTGAGTAAAAAGTAAAAAAAAAACTTTGCTAGGTCTTACATTCGGGGGAGGCCGTATATTTAGCAATTCAGCAAAACCTATGCTAGGTCTTATTTTCGGGGAAACACGGTGTATAAACTGTATTGACAAAATATATGCAAGTTTAGTTTCATAACACATACATAATAAAACATAAAAACCTAAAGATTGTTGTTTTATCGCTTTTTCGTTTGCAAATCGGTCAAGTATTTTCTCCAGATCAAGTTGACAAGCTATTGTTTATTCAATTGATATAATAGCCAGAGTTAAGATGGTGTTTTGACATACTGCTTCTTAAATAAGTTTTGATTAATTTTAGTTTAGTAAAATTTCGTTTTACTCTCGCTGTTATTACCCATAAAGTTAAAAAATGAGGCATGCTACAAATATGTAGGAGAACCTACTTGAGCCAGCAGTGTGAATTAAAAGTAGTTCAGCAACTTCGCTTAAAGAAATAATTTCATTTACCTGACTATAAAAATGCATTTTAAATCGAAGCAGTTGATGTCCAAAACTAGGCAAAATGTCACAGGGATATGCCGATTATAAAAGTTTTAATTTTTCCAGAATATTTTTATCAGATGAAGCGACAAGATATGCAAGTGGTAAGCACTTATAAAGTGTACAGTACATATTTGTTCAATTTAGTCAAATCTGTTAGTTAATTAATTAATTATAAAATCCAAAAAATGTTTACCAATGTTTCTACAAGTTTTTGTCGCCCTTTTTAACTTGGTGCACTCATGATTCATGCACCTGGAGCACTTTGCTGCAACTGCCTCATGGTAGCTACACTTCTGTTACTGATAGTTTCCTGAGTCTCTTTGCACTAAAATAGGATATTTTTTTATTTGGTATTTTGTTATGTAAATAACATCCTGTAGTATAAAATAGTAATCACAATTTTATTATTAGAAAGGGAAGCAAAAGAGCTTCTGCTGACATTAAAACTTGCTGATATAAATACTTTCAACGGTACCAAAGTTGATGCATTCGAATCTGAAAGATGTCACTTTACTTGCTCACTGTCTAAACCAGGGGTCACCAAACGTTTTTGATCGTCGACCCCTACAACTTTTCGAAACCTCACTCCCATCAAAAAGTTTGTGTTACAAGCAAAAAAAAGCTCTACTATTTTAATATATATCTTTTAATTTTATATGTTTTACATTTATTGTACATATGTTAATAATAATTTTTGTAACTGACAATCAATGAGACAGATAAGCTTGATAATCCTTTGCAAGATTAGTAATATTCGATTCAAAATTTCTAAGTTTTAGTCTTTTCATCGACCCCCCAATAATGTTATATCGACCCCTGGGAGTCGATTTAGACTACTTTGGCGACCCCTGGTCTAAACGGAATACATTAAGCCATCTGTGTGGGATTTTTCTGAACCACCGCTTTTATTTTGGAAATTCAAAAGTATAGCATTTATAAAATTCAACTACAAAAAGAAGTAACTGTATTGACACTCTGAAAACAACCTGTAATATCCAGAAAGGACACATAGATTCAAGAGACTTCTTTTTATAATATATCACGTTCTCACTCGAAGAAGCATTCATATATAAATAGGACAAAAAGTTTTTAATACAATTAACTTCAAGGATTTGTTAGAAGAATAAGCAATGTTAAAGGAACACTGTTCTTTCATACAAGTTCTTGTGCAGTTCATTTTCTAATGTGTTAGGAATGTTATCTGTCTACTGAAAATTTGTGGGAGATTTTTAAACATGACAAGAACCGATTAATTCAATTTGTTTTAGAGAAATAAAATAATCTTTGTGCAAAACTTTGGATGTTGAAAATGAAATTCTTGAATCTCATCAGTCACGTAAACTGCACTTTATAGTAAAAACCAACTATGGTCCTCTTAGATTTATTCATATGAAGAGATCGTTTGTGCCATTCTGAAACGTATTTTCCTCTAGCTGTCTGAAGCATACCATGGAAAATGTAGAACGATTAGCTGTTTGCATATATACTGTGTTTCTATTAGTAGCTCTTAAATTATGATACTTCATATTAATACATTACTAACTGATTCGAATTATTTTTTTAATTACAGTCAACCCCCTATAACACGGATTCCTATAGTTCGGATTCCTATATCACGGCAAAAAATTGCAACGGTATTCGTACAAACATGCTTAAAAAAACTCCTATAATTCGGTAAAACGTCATCGCCGACTCGTGTCACGACAGGATTGCACAAACCGTTGAGTTTAAACGAGCAGCGGTCCTACTAAAAACCATTTATTATTTAACGTCCATAAAAATTATATTTATATTAATGATGTCTCTAAAGTTCCGTGAATTTTTCGCAAAAAAAATAATTTAATAGGAAGCACGCGAGTGCCATTCGATGACAATCTCCACGACAAAAACAAGCTTAAGCAACAGAGTAGTCAAACGGTGCAAACTCGGTAAGTAATCCTACAATTTTTTGTTCATAGCATAGTTTATATGGATTATTTCCAAAAAATTATACGTATTTTGGAAATGTTGAGTCGAATTAGTGTAGATCTTTAAGGACTTATTCCGAGATATCTCAGGCTGTTTACATAGCGTTACATAAAACTCGGGCGTTGGGCCCCTGAAAAATTTTTTTGGAATGTTTGGATGTTTTTTAAGTCTCCAAATTTTTGCAAAAATTTTTGCCTGAGCGAAAAAATTTTATCGCGATTTTTATTAGCCTTTAATAAGGCTCGATTAAGGCTTAATTGTTTTTTAATGCGATTTTTTTATCAACTTTTATTCATCGTTCTGAAGTTCTAGTGCATCGATTTTAATTCCGTAGTTATTTAAAGCTAGTTTCTGATGTCAAAAACGACCTCCAATAGTTTTTTAATTTTTTGAATTAATATATTTTATTATATATACGTTTAATTAAGTCGGGGGCGGAAATCGCAATAAATAACGTAATTTTTTTAAAATATTTTAAAATATACGGCCAGTTATTATTCACTTTATTATAAACCCTTCTCCTCCCGAGACTTCTATGAGAATGTCCCGGGAAATCCAAACCCAGCTGTTCTCAAGGTCATTCAGCTGTAAACATAATGACTCATCAGTGTCAAATTAAACAGAAAGGCAAGACAATGGAAAATAAAATTTGAAGCTTTTTCTTCAAAATTAACGCATTTCTTTCGTTTTTTCAGTTTTAAGTATTTTTTATGTTATTACATTAAAATTAAAAATTGCTGTGTGCCCAACGGGTTAATTTTATGGAAGAAACCTTTCAAACAGCCATAGTTCGTAAACTGCATATGTGCCGGGCTGTGATTCGCTGGACTCGTAGAAGATGGATTCACAAAATCCGGAACGTATCTACCGTGTTATAGGGGGGTTGACTGTATTTTTTCTATGCATTAATTATATGCAATAAAAGAATAGTTTTCTTTTATACGTTTTTAGATTTTTAGTGAATTTTGGAAAATTTATTACTTTTTATCACTTTTTCACATAAAATTTGTACTGCAACTTTTCAAGTTTCTTCTATGGTACAGAAGAAGGATTGGATTACGATAAGTTTATTGGAACAAGGCGAAAGATTAGTTCAGCTATCTGTGAATGGGAGTATGCCTATATAGGAGTTTATAATATGTGTAAAATTCTCTCAAATATTGCTAATATACTAGAATCTAATATGGGTGTGTAAAATAATAACAAAAATAGTCACTACAACCGTAACAATTATGGGTTATCCATAATTAATAGTGAGTAATACCTGTTAAAATTCCTTTTGAAATTACAGTTCATAAAATATTACTATATATATGTTAGGCAGTTCTAAAGACGCTAAAAAATTTTTGCCTGTTTTAATATGTTTTATTTTTCCACGTGTACTATAGTGTTTTGCTTTATTATCAATCCCTTTTGGTTGAGTACTGTTACCATGTTTTACCCTTAATTTATAATTGATCTTATTTTTTTATTTTTCTACGGTATTTGAAGATTTATATGCTGTACTAATAATTAGAAATATATAGACTATGTAGCATTTTCTTGGTTTCCTTCACACACTTAATACCTAAATAGCAGAGAGCTCTCTTTTTAAATCCTTCTAGTTAGTAGTGTTTTGGCAATGCGTACTTGGGATGTATTATGTAGAATTCAAAAATTGTCAACGTATATAAATATATATTTCATTTATTTTAGGGAAAATGTGAATTTATTGGCAGTTGTTATGAAGTCGGAAACATAGAAAAATATACAGCAACTTTACCAGAAGAGTACATGAAATTTGGAGATTTCTATTACACTCAGCAAGAAATTGAAAACAATAATCACGATGACATATCTCATGAAATACAACAAACTACTGATGGAAATTTAGTAAGAATTTTTTGAAATGTTGTTAAAATGTTTAAGATTATTTATTATCAATATTTAAACAGAAAAAGTTATCTGAATATAGAGTTTAAAGCATTCCTGTTAATAATAAATAATACGTACATCATTCTTCTCATTTGTTTTCATTATTTCTAAAATAATAAATGCAAATTACAAAAATATTAAGAAATTTACATTTAGTTTACAATGTCAGATAAACGCTTTGCGATAATTGAAAATTTTTTAAATTTTATATATTTTAAAATATTATTTTCTGTAGATAACGAAATATAATAAAGCACAAGAAGACAAACGAGTTGGAGTAGTAGGATTATCTACATATGAAGCTTATTTCAATGCAGGAGCGGGTTTCTTCTTCAAGATGCTTATAGTATTTATGTTATTTATATCGCAGATCGTTTTTAGTGCCAGCGATTATTGGCTAATTATATGGTATTATTTTTACATAATTTAATTTCCTTAGTTTTATTCTTAGATTAATAGTGTCATTTATATACAATAAAAAAATGGTGAATGTCGAGACAATGGTGAATGTGCATTCACCATTGTCTCGAATAAACGCATTTCAATGCCACTGTTGCCTGTAAATCCTGATTTATTTATTCATCTATTGATGTGCTGTGCACTACTTATTATCACCTTTAGAATATTTTAAAATATTGTTATGATTTAATTTTAAAAAATAATTAATTTTTTAGGCTTAAAATTATTTGTAATATATAAAATTGAAACCTGTCACACACAAGTATAAAAAATAATTAAGTAATATATGCATAAAATTAATAAAAACTTTTTATTTTTTATAATTTGTACATTTGTAACAGAATAATGAAAAGCATATCTAAAAGGTGCTATTTTTATTCTTGTTGCAGTGGCTAGTCAGGTATGGTGCTATTCCTATGTAGTGGAGAATAAGTGTGGGATGTTTTTTAAGTATTTTCCCACGCGTTTTTTCTCATTACCGTTTCAGAAAAAGATTTTATAAATACAGTAGAGCGTCGATTTTCCGAATCAATTGGGGACTGGGGTTGTGCGGATAACTGATTTACGTACGAAAAAATAGTTTAACGTATCCGATGTCGAAAATTTTTCTCCGTTGCGTGTCGCTTCGCGTTGAATTTTCGTCGATGTTAAGCCTAACAAAGACTATTGTATCGTTAAAAATTATTTTTTTATTTTGTACAAACTAAATAAATATATTGAAAAATAAAAAAATAATAAAAAAATTACACTTCAGACGTTAATTTAGTATCAAAAACGTAAAATATTTGAGTAACCCAAGACATAGCCAAAGATTGAAGCGCCACAGCACTGGCGAAAAATTTAAATTTGCCGACTGGAATTCTTTCGGATGATTGACGTTTTGGATGATTGACTTTCGGAAAATCGGCGCTCTACTGTAGTTATGTCTAGTAAAGAAAAGTCATTTTTTATTGTTACATAATTCTTTTTTTCATGTGAATTTTTTTTCGCGATAGTTTTTGGCTAGTTTTGGCAATATCCGCAAAATTCTTTTGTGGATATATCTGTCCTTCATCACTGCCACACGTCTGCCCTTGACAGATATATCTGTCAGTCACTGCTGCGTAGTTAAGTTATCATATGCTGCCAAATGCTCTTTTAATTGAAGCAAGTACAAAGTTTACCTGTCTGGATCAGTTAGATATACCAATCACCTCTTCTGTTCCTAACAAGTGCAAGTGTGAGAATCTTGAGAGATAAGATATTAATTAGCTGTGAAAGTAAAATACACGGTTGTGCAAGAAAAAAATCATACAAATTTTCATTCTCATGTGATAGTGGAAGGGAAATGAAAATAACAATTTTTTTCAGTATATGGACTTTCGAAGGAGAGATCTAATCTCACGCGTTAATAAGACTGCTGCTATGCGACACCGCTTAGGCATACTGTTACATGGGAAAGACTTACCCCCGAATTGGATGGGATTGGAATATACAAAGTGGTAAAATGTAAGTCTCGAGGCATCAAAGAGTGTGGACTGTAGCTCGTCTGTCAACCCTTTTGTCTCACAACTCTCGTCTGTCTCTCTTCTGAAACCCATCTCCATCAAGTATCTCCCAGATACGAGAAGACAACTGTCTACTTGACAAGAGGTATTCCACCCGGATTTATGTAAACTCTCTCTCTCTGTAAATTAGAGTTTAAGCAGCTACAGGTTCCATATAGTCATATTCCTTTGGATGTATTGTTAGATAAGGATGTCGATTTTATCCACATGTAAATACCTATTTAGTTATAATATTATCCTTGTTTTGTTTAAACGGGTTTCGAATTAACTTCTGTCTACAGTCGGTCACCTATGGACTTATCCACAACTCCTCCCACTCGAACGTCAACCCCTCCTTATCGAACAATCTTAAATAGTAAAAATTGATAATCGCGAATTATTAATATCCTAACTGATGTCAGGAGCCTCACATCACAAAGATCTTGCGATTTTGTGACACTTTAGTACTATAATCATCGTATTCATCAACGCAAGTTAAACAGAGAGTTGACAAACTCCAGTTTAGATGTAACTCGAAGTCAGATTACGAGTTATTCTATTTCATATTTAGATAAAAATATAACTCTAGAGTTTAGCTACTCTAGAGTTAATGTGTTAAAACAATCCTGCATTCGAGATTAAACAAGTAATCTTTTGTAAGCAGAGTCTTGATTGGTTGAAAGCAAACATGTGTAGAAATTGCAGAAAGTGAAATGAAAAATAATGCACGCCGAACTGAAATGTTCTTGTGGCATAGAGCCAACATCAGTTGTTCCATCGTATAACGGCGACATCGTATAATTTTTCAATGATGTAGAAACTAAATTGTGACCAATTCGTTCTAGTATGTTTCTTATTCTCTCTTTTGGCAAATGATCTGGACATAGAAAGTCGTAATTGTCCAATTGTTCAAGCTCATTTTTTCTTGGAGAAATAAACCGTAGACTTCTTCGTTCCATACGATCTAGATTTTTCAGATTTTCTAGCATCTCGGCTTTGTCCGCGTTGAATGTCGCCATTTTTCCTTGAAATAGAATGCTTCGCACTGGCGTCAAACCTACAGTTGTTGTCTACTCGCCGATTTTCTAGAGTTAGAGATAGAGTTAGGGTTATTGTGTTTGATTCGAGATTCGAAGTTGGTGAATACCAATTAACCAATAACTCAAGAGATAACCCTAACTCTAACTCTAACTCTAACTCGCATTGGTGAATACAGTGGTAAGAAGCATCCACTGACAAAGTGAGCAGGCCTGACTGCCGGACGCTGCACATTGGTGATAAAAGCCTATTACTGTTGCTTCTCACACAAGGATTGCCTTTTTTTCCGGATTTGTGTTAATTTCTTCTCGATACGACAAAGTCGAATGATCTCTTAGTATTCCACTGCAATCGTTTTACCTATGTTTTCTCTCCCCTTTTTCTTCTGCAGAAGAAAGCTGATTTATTTCTCTTTTTCATCACATCCATTATGTTTTTCCTCTTTCTGTCATTGTTACAACATTTAACATACTAGTTCTAGACTCAAGACATTGATTATTTTTTATTTCTATATGGATGTAATTGCTTTAGTCATATTTGCTTGTTATAAGAAAGCCTTCATCTATTTTTCACTGTGATCAGGCAGAGACCCTGCGCGTTTCTTCCAGGCTATGCCGTAGCATGGCTATTTTTTTAATGGTTGCTTAATTATATGGGATGCCGAAGGTATGACAAGGTCGTACTTCTTTTGCTCGGCAACAGTTTAGTGAAAACTGCCCACTTGTCAGTGGGTGGCTTGTTTATGCTTGCTATCCCAAAGGGTCGGGATTCTTTTTGTCAGCTTGAGTGGAGAAAGTGCGAGGAGTCGTCGGTAAGGCATAAGCAATAAACGAGCAAAGGGCACCATTTAACAAGAAAATCAAAGATTTATTGACTAACAGAAAGGACGTTTACAATTACGACAATCGACATAACTTCGAGCTCTCCTAACTTTCGAGTAAAAGTTTAACGGGCCGAGAGAGCGTTTACATGCTTGATATCATACCTCTTGATTATTCCCACAGAGGTTCATATCAGTCCTTGATGTCATGGTGCACAATTTTATAAAAATCGCGACTCAAATTCTTAGACCACACTTAATAAAGATAGCTCGACAATATCGCACCTCAGTATAGTTCGGCTTGTGAGAGACTCCTCTGAAGGGGAGAAGCGGCTTTTATAGCTTCGTGGTTGGAAAATATGTCATGTGATGACCTGTTGTGGGACGTAAAGATTATTGGAGCCGGTTAAAGATGTTCTCGGGATCAAAATAAAGTGACGAAATCGGACGTTACTTGTAAACTTTAAGTCTTGCAGTATGAGAATGAGTGCCTAGAATGTTTACATTTAAAAAGAAGGGTTATAAAATTTTCCTAGCGATGTTATTTTTTTCTCTTCTCGAATCTTTAGGCAATAGGAAAGGAAATAATTAGGGAAGCATCGATAAAAATTCCGATCTCACAATTATATACCAAACGTAATTCATAAATTTCAAATTTTCAACATTGTGCAAGACATTCTTAGCATTTGAAGCGTAGGCGTATTACAAAATGTTGATTGGCGACGTTGCAAAATGCTTACAGCAGAGCTTCACTCGTCTGAATTGATGCATGTCGAAATGACAGTGCACCAATGTGGTATCTAATTTCAAACTCGATCTAGTCATGCATAATTTACAATAAAACGGCATTGTTTTCTTTACTTTATTCAGATTGATCTATTCTATTTTGTATCATGTTTTTATATGTTTCTAGTGAATTACATCGAAGATTGCCATGTTGATTTTATTAATATTATGCTAATCGTTGCAGTTAATTCATTAATCAAACAGCCAGCACTGTACTCTCAAAAGAGATGAAAAATATGAAACGATATTTAGGCAATTTTGCCATTAATTTTTCATTTTTGATTTTTAAATTATAATTAGAAAATATAACGTCTGCTGAAAAGAAGCTTTGTCCCAAAATGCTGAAATGTAGAGCATACAGAATTATGTTACATTAAAAGTGTTTTACCTGAAACTTGTATGATTCATTTTCCTTGGAATAACAAGTCTAATTACACAAGAACGTTTAAACTTGTTAAACACATTTTATGTTATGTCCAGGTACATTTTAACATCGAGCAAAAGCATAAATTTTAACTGATAAGCTGATGTTTCACATTGCAATCACTTACACATCTGAGTTTATCAATTACTAATTTATAGTAATTATCAAACACAGCATAATATTTTTACATTTGTTCACAATTTACTAATGAAGTATTTGTTGATTTCTAAAAACAATTTATTTCATATTTAATTTCAGGTTACAAGAGGAAAGAAGCTACACTCAAATTGCAGGACAAACGACGAACTTTACTTCAAAAATACTGACTATTAACAACACCAGAAATGAAAAGTTTTATAAAGCTCGTGAATTGAATATTTACATTTATTTTGGATTCATATCAGCAATAATATTAACGGCAATCTCATCTATCTCATTATTATACAAACTCTTTGTTTCTGCCTCAATAAAACTCCACAACAATATGTTTCGTTGTATTATTCGTACTCCAATTTCTTTCCTGGATAACAATCCCATTGGTAAGTGATATACTGTATATATATTTGTTTGCTTATTAAGTTAATGATTATTTAATGAAATTTAGAAATTATATACAGGGTGTTTATAATTAAAACACCTTGTATTTCCACTTTGAAATGGCCATAAAATGAAAACCACTGGACAGAATGTTATCAAACTTGATAATAGTGTACAGGACGTCATGAGATTTTATTTCCCGCGAAAAAAATAGTTCAAAAACTCACCACCAACGGGAAATCGCGCTATCTGCAATATTGTTAAACGAAATAACACACTAAAACATCGTTGAAAATGTTTTTAATCTGTTTTAATACCAGGTGTATCATATGATTTTACATCTATGCTTAATATATTTTCAAGATTTATAGAAAATCTAAAACAACAAAAAAATAATTGATGTCGATTTTGAGGCACACGACTATCAAACAGCATAACCAACTTACAATTTTTGTGACAACTCAGGATATATTTTTTTCTTCTTAATTGAAGTTTTTAGACTATTTACAAAAAATTAAATTTTTCAAGTCTATCTTTATACACCACCACAGAAGTAACAGTTTTAAAAAATTGCTTTTGAAGAAAAACTTCTAATGAAGAAAACACTTCTAAAACAGGTAAAAATTGGTAGAAAGTCCACAAAGTTAAAAAAAAATCAAGTGCCAGTTTTTTCTTTTAGGTTCTGACACTTTTTACATTAAAACCATAATGAATTCTTCATACCATATTATTTTATCCACTTTTAAACTGCTTCTAGCCCTCTAGTGGTAGTTACGAGAAATCCACATTATTTGCATATAGTTACAATTTTTGTGATAACTCAGAATATATTTTTTCTTCTTAATTGAAGTTTTTAGACTATTTACAAAAAATTAAATTTTTTGTAAAAAGCAAAAGCAATTTTTTAAAACTGTTACTTCTGTGGTGGTGTATAAGGGATTTAAAAGATAGACTCGAAAAATTTAATTTTTTGTAAATAGTCTAAAAACTTTAATTAAGAAGCATAACCAACATTTTACCCCGTGATGTTTCTGACCATTATCCTGGAAGTGAAACTACACCTACAAGCTAATTTTAATTCGAAATTTTGCACGTGTTTAAATACAACAACAACAAAGCTTCTACAATGATTAATGAGCAGACACATTTTTCAATACCAATTTATTTTGTAAAAAATTATTACTATCTTCACATTTTTCAAAGAATTCTGCAGGACCTCTGATGTAACAAAATTATCAATTTGTTTTTTCATTACTGTATATGCACGTATTTTGTTTTTACTGTGAAAATCGGCATTATATATTAATTTAATTTCTGCAACAACTTTTTACATTTCTGAGTCCTTATGTATTCGGTAAAAATATCAAAAATGTTTTTTATTGTCACATTAAACAGAAAGTTCAAAAAATAAATTGAAAATAAGAGTGTAATAATGCAAAATTTCAATATTTCGCATTTTCACTTTTACATTTACGAACATACGGGTCATACATTTCTGTAGAAACAGTAAAGTAGCGTTCATTAATCGTAGGAAATTAATCGTGATGAACGTGATGAACAACATTTTGTCTCCTGTCATTAGAAATTACCTGTGTAATGTTCTCCATTCATGAAGTTCTAGCAATCGATGAAGTGAATTTTTATCTTTTTATAAAACGTATAAATCGGTTTTTGACTGATATTTGTTTACCATGATGAAACTCTTTGCATATTTAAATTTTGGTATTACCTACATATATAATACTGGAAGAAATTCGTTTTCTTGTCATTTATTTTCCTATTATTTAGTTTTTCTACAGAAATGCTATTTCTAATTTTGTAAAACTTTTAAAAATCTTGTGAGTATACTTTTTTAGCTCACGTGAAATATGGAGTCATTGCAATCTTCCCCACATTGCTTAGTTGTAACTACTTTTCTAGCTTTCACAACTTTATTTTTCTTACTGTATATATTTAAGTCGCTACTTCTTTGTTTTCTCTCGGACGTCATTCTTCGATGCGCTCGGATCTGACACTTTTTTACTACTCTTCGATTTTTTATTGTCCTCCTTACCATTCTCGTCGTTTTCATAATCATGTTTTGTTTCTGTTCTTTTTTAATCGAACGTATTTGGACATATAACTTCTGGAAACTTCGTCTTCCTTCTGTAGCAGCTGCTCCTACCTCATGTTGTAAGCATTGTTACTGATCTCATTGATATTTGTCAGTAAAAGTTGCAAACAACGGTGCCGAAGCAGGTTCCTTTATGAAACCTTCACATACCAAAATTGTACTACAAGTTTAAAGTGTATAAAAAAAATTAATTTTGTCAGTTTCGTGAAGTAATCAATGGTGCATAGTCTGGTAATCAGTGGTTGTATAAATTCATAATTATAGTGAAAACGTCACGGAGATTATTAAATAATAGTTACCAACAACACTTATTATTGTTTCACAATAATAACTGTTGTTGGTAACTATCACTTAATAATCTCCATGGATAATAAAGAGATTTCGCATCAAATCTAAGTAAAATACCTCCTTTAATGTAGACCGTTGTCTTTTGGTAGTTGATTATGCGTCAGCATAGAGGTTGGTGAGTTTCTCAATGGAGACAATCTTAGGAGAAGAGAAAGATGAAATTCGGTCAACTAGCTCTAAGGTTGAAGTCCGCTAATTTATAGGGAAGTGTCTGCCCAAGACGGGTTTGTTAACATATTATATCCTTAGATTACCGCAATCGGAGGTTAAGATTCTTATTATGTGACAGGATACACTGATGAGTCAAGCTACCAGATGTTCGACAAAAATTGCAATAACATCTCTTGCAAAGGAAAATTTATTTCTTTTTTTTCAGAAAAGTGACAAAATGTGTTGTTTTTAATGCAAAAATAATATTTTGGTTTTTAAATTATTAAATAAAAGTATTTCCTGTCTCAAGAATCTCATGCTGTAGTTTACAGAAGCTCAAATACAAAAACATATTAAACACTTACATTTTGTAGACAAACAAAGTATGACAAAAATATACAGAAATCATTTTTACCCTTAGCAGAAGTCAGTCTTATTGCAAGCAATCAATAAGGCACTGTATATTTTGTTAAAAGAATTAAAATTAGCACCGACGGGCTGGGTAAATATAATTCTTTATGATATTAGATTAAAAGAGCATCTAATTACTTGGCTGGCATATGGAATACAGTATGGTACATTACAAAAATAACAACTCAGATGTGATATGTCTATTTTTGTATATGTCAGTGAAAACCTGACTTTATATAATTTGCTCTTATTAATGTCGTATGCATGTTAACAACGTTGATATAATATACACATACCTGTGATTAAGCATGTTGCATTGAGTGATCTACGAACAAAGATAGATTACTATTTCTGAAAACACAGATAGTGTTAATTTACATATATATATAAGATTACAGAATATATATATATATTCTGTAATCTTATATATATATGTAAATTAACACTATCTGTGTTTTCAGAAATAGTAATCTATCTTTGTTCGTAGATCACTCAATGCAACATGCTTAATCACAGGTATGTGTATATTATATCAACGTTGTTAACATGCATACGACATTAATAAGAGCAAATTATATAAAGTCAGGTTTTCACTGACATATACAAAAATAGACATATCACATCTGAGTTGTTATTTTTGTAATGTACCATACTGTATTCCATATGCCAGCCAAGTAATTAGATGCTCTTTTAATCTAATATCATAAAGAATTATATTTACCCAGCCCGTCGGTGCTAATTTTAATTCTTTTAACAAAATATACAGTGCCTTATTGATTGCTTGCAATAAGACTGACTTCTGCTAAGGGTAAAAATGATTTCTGTATATTTTTGTCATACTTTGTTTGTCTACAAAATGTAAGTGTTTAATATGTTTTTGTATTTGAGCTTCTGTAAACTACAGCATGAGATTCTTGAGACAGGAAATACTTTTATTTAATAATTTAAAAACCAAAATATTATTTTTGCATTAAAAACAACACATTTTGTCACTTTTCTGAAAAAAAAGAAATAAATTTTCCTTTGCAAGAGATGTTATTGCAATTTTTGTCGAACATCTGGTAGCTTGACTCATCAGTGTATCCTGTCACATAATAAGAATCTTAACCTCCGATTGCGGTAATCTAAGGATATAATATGTTAACAAACCCGTCTTGGGCAGACACTTCCCTATAAATTAGCGGACTTCAACCTTAGAGCTAGTTGACCGAATTTCATCTTTCTCTTCTCCTAAGATTGTCTCCATTGAGAAACTCACCAACCTCTATGCTGACGCATAATCAACTACCAAAAGACAACGGTCTACATTAAAGGAGGTATTTTACTTAGATTTGATGCGAAATCTCTTTATTATCCATGGAGATTATTAAGTGATAGTTACCAACAACAGTTATTATTGTGAAACAATAATAAGTGTTGTTGGTAACTATTATTTAATAATCTCCGTGACGTTTTCACTATAATTATGAATTTATACAACCACTGATTACCAGACTATGCACCATTGATTACTTCACGAAACTGACAAAATTAATTTTTTTTATACACTTTAAACTTGTAGTACAATTTTGGTATGTGAAGGTTTCATAAAGGAACCTGCTTCGGCACCGTTGTTTGCAACTTTTACTGACAAATATCAATGAGATCAGTAACAATGCTTACAACATGAGGTAGGAGCAGCTGCTACAGAAGGAAGACGAAGTTTCCAGAAGTTATATGTCCAAATACGTTCGATTAAAAAAGAACAGAAACAAAACATGATTATGAAAACGACGAGAATGGTAAGGAGGACAATAAAAAATCGAAGAGTAGTAAAAAAGTGTCAGATCCGAGCGCATCGAAGAATGACGTCCGAGAGAAAACAAAGAAGTAGCGACTTAAATATATACAGTAAGAAAAATAAAGTTGTNTTGTTTTGTCGGCCTTGCCTATTATTTTCAAATAAAATTAGCGTGTGGAATGAGATTGGCTTTGACGATTTGAATAATTTCAGTAAAGCTGGCAAAACACACAAAAATCGTAAATCTCGGGTCGATTCTCTCGTAAAATTGAAGCAATTTGGAAATCAAAATAGAATAGAATTTAACATTAGTACACAATATAAAATAAATATTGAAAATTATAACGAGATAGTTACAGCTAATAGATATATTATATTTTAATTAGTAGATGTTATCGAAGCAAGAATTGGCATATGGAGGGCGTGGAGAATCTATTAAATCTAATATAACAGAGTTAATTATATTGAACTCGCTTATTTATTAAGTGCGTTAGATAATCTATTAATTAAAAAATACATTTAGAGAAGTCTACTGTTTTTACTGGCTTATCGATCAAACGAATACGAATGGAACCTGGACCATCATTGACTGATTTCCCCTGGAAGTCGGCTTCTTACAGAAACACAGCTTCCCTATCATCAAATGTCACGGCATGCCACTGGTATGGTATAATAGTTCTGACATTCTTTCAGGCTAAAATGTTTCAAAGAATGTCGGAATTGTTATGAAATACATCTCTGTACTCACATATGTGGATTCCCGAAAAGTAACCGGAAGAACTCAATTTATGTAAATAGATATCTCATCACATAAGACTAATTCTTATTCTTAATTAATGATACGGTCGAATTAATACTAAAACAATGAGCACCTATAAATACTATAGCCTTACTTACAAAAGTTTACTTTTATAACCACTAAAAAAAATTTTTTGGGCAAATAAATCGAAATGTCATGTGCGTCGAATCAGGCGCTCACCTCAGTTCAACAATTTCTCAGAAGACAAATAATTCCCAAATGTTTTATTTAAATTCATTTCGGACCGGAATTCTCGCCAATCCCTCTTCAGTTATGGTACAATCTGCAACAGATGCTAAACAAATAATTTGGACTTTTCTAAATTACAGTAACAATTATCTTGCATCGCCTAACATACCTTTATTCTTATATATGACATCATTCTAAATGTCATTTATTAATATTTCGCTATTTAAATTAATTAAATTATTGTCATTTTTAATCACTGTATATTTTTAAATTGTTGTAGATATATATCGTTTTCTAGAAACAAAAGTTTAATATTATCTTTGTGAGAAATTTGGTTCTCACAAAGAGTTGTCGATTACAGGTCAGTAAGACCACTCATTTTGTCAATGGATGGCTTGTAATATAAAATTTTAGACTAAAGATAGTAAAATCTTAGTGTAGTCAGGACTGATACCAGATAGAGTAATTATTCGCTCTCTAACTCGCGATATTAAAATTATAATAAAAATTAAAAACTATTATTTATGAGTTGGGAGTGTGATAGGGTGTTCGATATTCAACTAAANACACATTTTATGTTATGTCCAGGTACATTTTAACATCGAGCAAAAGCATAAATTTTAACTGATAAGCTGATGTTTCACATTGCAATCACTTACACATCTGAATTTGTCAATTATAATTTATAATAATTATCAAACAAAGCATAATACTTTTACATTTGTTTCTATTTACTTATGAAGTATTTGTAGATTTTTAAAAACAATTTATTTCATATTTAATTTCAGGTTACAAGAGGAAAGAAGCTACACTCAAATTGCAGGACAAACGACGAACTTTACTTCAAAAATACTGACTATTAACAACACCAGAAATGAAAAGTTTTATAAAGCTCGTGAATTGAATATTTACATCTATTTTGGATTCATATCAGCAATAATATTAACGGCAATCTCATCTATCTCATTATTATACAAACTCTTTGTTTCTGCCTCAATAAAACTCCACAACAATATGTTTCGTTGTATTATTCGTACTCCAATTTCTTTCCTGGATAACAATCCCATTGGTAAGTGATATACTGTATATATATTTGTTTGCTTATTAAGTTAATGATTATTTAATGAAATTTAGAAATTATATACAGGGTGTTTATAATTAAAACACCTTGTATTTCCACTTTGAAATGGCCATAAAATGAAAACCACTGGACAGAATGTTATCAAACTTGATAATAGTGTACAGGACGTCATGAGATTTTATTTCCCGCGAAAAAAATAGTTCAAAAACTCACCACCAACGGGAAATCGCGCTATCTGCAATATTGTTAAACGAAATAACACACTAAAACATCGTTGAAAATGTTTTTAATCTGTTTTAATACCAGGTGTATCATATGATTTTACATCTATGCTTAATATATTTTCAAGATTTATAGAAAATCTAAAACAACAAAAAAATAATTGATGTCGATTTTGAGGCACACGACTATCAAACAGCATAACCAACTTACAATTTTTGTGACAACTCAGGATATATTTTTTTCTTCTTAATTGAAGTTTTTAGACTATTTACAAAAAATTAAATTTTTCAAGTCTATCTTTATACACCACCACAGAAGTAACAGTTTTAAAAAATTGCTTTTGAAGAAAAACTTCTAATGAAGAAAACACTTCTAAAACAGGTAAAAATTGGTAGAAAGTCCACAAAGTTAAAAAAAAATCAAGTGCCAGTTTTTTCTTTTAGGTTCTGACACTTTTTACATTAAAACCATAATGAATTCTTCATACCATATTATTTTATCCACTTTTAAACTGCTTCTAGCCCTCTAGTGGTAGTTACGAGAAATCCACATTATTTGCATATAGTTACAATTTTTGTGATAACTCAGAATATATTTTTTCTTCTTAATTGAAGTTTTTAGACTATTTACAAAAAATTAAATTTTTTGTAAAAAGCAAAAGCAATTTTTTAAAACTGTTACTTCTGTGGTGGTGTATAAGGGATTTAAAAGATAGACTCGAAAAATTTAATTTTTTGTAAATAGTCTAAAAACTTTAATTAAGAAGCATAACCAACATTTTACCCCGTGATGTTTCTGACCATTATCCTGGAAGTGAAACTACACCTACAAGCTAATTTTAATTCGAAATTTTGCACGTGTTTAAATACAACAACAACAAAGCTTCTACAATGATTAATGAGCAGACACATTTTTCAATACCAATTTATTTTGTAAAAAATTATTACTATCTTCACATTTTTCAAAGAATTCTGCAGGACCTCTGATGTAACAAAATTATCAATTTGTTTTTTCATTACTGTATATGCACGTATTTTGTTTTTACTGTGAAAATCGGCATTATATATTAATTTAATTTCTGCAACAACTTTTTACATTTCTGAGTCCTTATGTATTCGGTAAAAATATCAAAAATGTTTTTTATTGTCACATTAAACAGAAAGTTCAAAAAATAAATTGAAAATAAGAGTGTAATAATGCAAAATTTCAATATTTCGCATTTTCACTTTTACATTTACGAACATACGGGTCATACATTTCTGTAGAAACAGTAAAGTAGCGTTCATTAATCGTAGGAAATTAATCGTGATGAACGTGATGAACAACATTTTGTCTCCTGTCATTAGAAATTACCTGTGTAATGTTCTCCATTCATGAAGTTCTAGCAATCGATGAAGTGAATTTTTATCTTTTTATAAAACGTATAAATCGGTTTTTGACTGATATTTGTTTACCATGATGAAACTCTTTGCATATTTAAATTTTGGTATTACCTACATATATAATACTGGAAGAAATTCGTTTTCTTGTCATTTATTTTCCTATTATTTAGTTTTTCTACAGAAATGCTATTTCTAATTTTGTAAAACTTTTAAAAATCTTGTGAGTATACTTTTTTAGCTCACGTGAAATATGGAGTCATTGCAATCTTCCCCACATTGCTTAGTTGTAACTACTTTTCTAGCTTTCACAACTTTATTTTTCTTACTGTATATATTTAAGTCGCTACTTCTTTGTTTTCTCTCGGACGTCATTCTTCGATGCGCTCGGATCTGACACTTTTTTACTACTCTTCGATTTTTTATTGTCCTCCTTACCATTCTCGTCGTTTTCATAATCATGTTTTGTTTCTGTTCTTTTTTAATCGAACGTATTTGGACATATAACTTCTGGAAACTTCGTCTTCCTTCTGTAGCAGCTGCTCCTACCTCATGTTGTAAGCATTGTTACTGATCTCATTGATATTTGTCAGTAAAAGTTGCAAACAACGGTGCCGAAGCAGGTTCCTTTATGAAACCTTCACATACCAAAATTGTACTACAAGTTTAAAGTGTATAAAAAAAATTAATTTTGTCAGTTTCGTGAAGTAATCAATGGTGCATAGTCTGGTAATCAGTGGTTGTATAAATTCATAATTATAGTGAAAACGTCACGGAGATTATTAAATAATAGTTACCAACAACACTTATTATTGTTTCACAATAATAACTGTTGTTGGTAACTATCACTTAATAATCTCCATGGATAATAAAGAGATTTCGCATCAAATCTAAGTAAAATACCTCCTTTAATGTAGACCGTTGTCTTTTGGTAGTTGATTATGCGTCAGCATAGAGGTTGGTGAGTTTCTCAATGGAGACAATCTTAGGAGAAGAGAAAGATGAAATTCGGTCAACTAGCTCTAAGGTTGAAGTCCGCTAATTTATAGGGAAGTGTCTGCCCAAGACGGGTTTGTTAACATATTATATCCTTAGATTACCGCAATCGGAGGTTAAGATTCTTATTATGTGACAGGATACACTGATGAGTCAAGCTACCAGATGTTCGACAAAAATTGCAATAACATCTCTTGCAAAGGAAAATTTATTTCTTTTTTTTCAGAAAAGTGACAAAATGTGTTGTTTTTAATGCAAAAATAATATTTTGGTTTTTAAATTATTAAATAAAAGTATTTCCTGTCTCAAGAATCTCATGCTGTAGTTTACAGAAGCTCAAATACAAAAACATATTAAACACTTACATTTTGTAGACAAACAAAGTATGACAAAAATATACAGAAATCATTTTTACCCTTAGCAGAAGTCAGTCTTATTGCAAGCAATCAATAAGGCACTGTATATTTTGTTAAAAGAATTAAAATTAGCACCGACGGGCTGGGTAAATATAATTCTTTATGATATTAGATTAAAAGAGCATCTAATTACTTGGCTGGCATATGGAATACAGTATGGTACATTACAAAAATAACAACTCAGATGTGATATGTCTATTTTTGTATATGTCAGTGAAAACCTGACTTTATATAATTTGCTCTTATTAATGTCGTATGCATGTTAACAACGTTGATATAATATACACATACCTGTGATTAAGCATGTTGCATTGAGTGATCTACGAACAAAGATAGATTACTATTTCTGAAAACACAGATAGTGTTAATTTACATATATATATAAGATTACAGAATATATATATATATTCTGTAATCTTATATATATATGTAAATTAACACTATCTGTGTTTTCAGAAATAGTAATCTATCTTTGTTCGTAGATCACTCAATGCAACATGCTTAATCACAGGTATGTGTATATTATATCAACGTTGTTAACATGCATACGACATTAATAAGAGCAAATTATATAAAGTCAGGTTTTCACTGACATATACAAAAATAGACATATCACATCTGAGTTGTTATTTTTGTAATGTACCATACTGTATTCCATATGCCAGCCAAGTAATTAGATGCTCTTTTAATCTAATATCATAAAGAATTATATTTACCCAGCCCGTCGGTGCTAATTTTAATTCTTTTAACAAAATATACAGTGCCTTATTGATTGCTTGCAATAAGACTGACTTCTGCTAAGGGTAAAAATGATTTCTGTATATTTTTGTCATACTTTGTTTGTCTACAAAATGTAAGTGTTTAATATGTTTTTGTATTTGAGCTTCTGTAAACTACAGCATGAGATTCTTGAGACAGGAAATACTTTTATTTAATAATTTAAAAACCAAAATATTATTTTTGCATTAAAAACAACACATTTTGTCACTTTTCTGAAAAAAAAGAAATAAATTTTCCTTTGCAAGAGATGTTATTGCAATTTTTGTCGAACATCTGGTAGCTTGACTCATCAGTGTATCCTGTCACATAATAAGAATCTTAACCTCCGATTGCGGTAATCTAAGGATATAATATGTTAACAAACCCGTCTTGGGCAGACACTTCCCTATAAATTAGCGGACTTCAACCTTAGAGCTAGTTGACCGAATTTCATCTTTCTCTTCTCCTAAGATTGTCTCCATTGAGAAACTCACCAACCTCTATGCTGACGCATAATCAACTACCAAAAGACAACGGTCTACATTAAAGGAGGTATTTTACTTAGATTTGATGCGAAATCTCTTTATTATCCATGGAGATTATTAAGTGATAGTTACCAACAACAGTTATTATTGTGAAACAATAATAAGTGTTGTTGGTAACTATTATTTAATAATCTCCGTGACGTTTTCACTATAATTATGAATTTATACAACCACTGATTACCAGACTATGCACCATTGATTACTTCACGAAACTGACAAAATTAATTTTTTTTATACACTTTAAACTTGTAGTACAATTTTGGTATGTGAAGGTTTCATAAAGGAACCTGCTTCGGCACCGTTGTTTGCAACTTTTACTGACAAATATCAATGAGATCAGTAACAATGCTTACAACATGAGGTAGGAGCAGCTGCTACAGAAGGAAGACGAAGTTTCCAGAAGTTATATGTCCAAATACGTTCGATTAAAAAAGAACAGAAACAAAACATGATTATGAAAACGACGAGAATGGTAAGGAGGACAATAAAAAATCGAAGAGTAGTAAAAAAGTGTCAGATCCGAGCGCATCGAAGAATGACGTCCGAGAGAAAACAAAGAAGTAGCGACTTAAATATATACAGTAAGAAAAATAAAGTTGTGAAAGCTAGAAAAGTAGTTACAACTAAGCAATGTGGGGAAGATTGCAATGACTCCATATTTCACGTGAGCT